CCCGGCGAAAAGCTGTTCCTTAACACCGCGCATGAGGTAACTCAACTTTTTATCTTCCGTCATGTGCGGGTCAGTTCGATGAAAGGAAAGAGTCATGTCCTCGGCAAACATTGCAACGGTTTCGTTGGGTTTTTGAACCCGTATCTCCAATAACTTCTGCGCACGGCCCCTTCTATCGACATTGGCGAAGGTATCGACAAACTTCTGTCGAAAGTCAGGCCAAGCTGACAAATTCCCTTCTCTATTTTCATACCAAGTACGAACACCGTCGTCAAGGTAGAAATAGACGCGAGAAAGCTTTTCCTGTTCCGACCACTGATTGACCTTGGCAACACGCTTGTAGTTGTCAAGCCAGTCGTGGACGTCTTCATGGGCACCGCCACTAAAGCGATCGGGAACGAGGGGTTGAAAGATGGTCACCTGAGATGGGAGCGTCGGAAAGCTGCCTTGGGGCACCTGTTGTGGGCTTGCGTTGGCCATTAGTGGAGGTGTACGGTGCCTAGGAGGTTCCGGCGAGTGAGTGAGCTCTGGCGCGAGGCCTCGCAACCATCGACTGGAGCGATGCACCGGAGTTGCTACCGGTGACAATGATTGTGGACTCGATGAACGGCTCCCGGCGGACGTGTGGAGCATCAGACAGGGTTGCGGCCCAGCTCCTCCACCAGTGTCGCGGTACAACGTGAATAAAACAGAGGTACACCTTGAGTCAACGAAAGCAGCATGTTTTCAACAGCTGAGCCACAAGATCGTCTTCTTCGGTCTCGAGTGAAGCTAGAGGCCCACTACCTCGTGTCCACTAAATCTCCCATCATTGTTTTCGTCCACATGTAGACACGCATCAATATGTTCCAGGTTGTAGTCGGGTCTCAACGAAAGTTTCTCGAGACAAGCCTTTTGTTGAATGGGCTCGAACTACGTGGGACGGCGCCAATGTGGCTGTTGTCTTGGCGCCAACCTCTCGACTCGGCTGTCGTCGCCGACTAGAAATTTCCACAAAAGCACCGACAGCCCGGAAGCCTACGAACGCGTCGAAGAAGCCGTTCTCAGGGATCGAGCGTTTGGACTGCCATGTTCGAGAGAGTTCTGGAAGCCTGTAGCTGAAAGCAGCCATGAACCGCTGCTGACGTTCGGGTGAGTGGCCATCTCCCCGGAGGAGCTACACTTTCCCTCTCCGGACTCTACCTCCTCGCCCTGTGGTGCCTTCCAGGCGTGGGCTGGGTGCATCATTGTGTGTGCTCGTGCTAACACTGGACCTTTTCGCCCAGCCGCGGGGTGCAATATCTGCATGCCTTCTGATGGGGGAGCACTAAGACTTCGTCACCTGATTTGTGGCAAGAGTGGTAACCGCCTTTTTCGGACCTCCGTGTAAGGACAAGGCGGGCTATAAAAGCCGACACAATTTGTAAATAAGAGGGGAATCATTAGCTGAATATTTGTACGTAGCTGATTCACTGCTGAGTCTCTGTACAGTCCCATCTTTCCACTATCATGTAAATAAACCTCCATTCTATCTCTTTTATGAACACATCTCCTCACAGGTGAAGATCAGCAACGCGGACGACGGCGGGGAGCCAGCTACCCTAATAAGAACCCGCCGTACATGCCATCATCAACCTTCGAACCTCTAACAACACGCGCCGCTCCTATATAACCCTTGGTTAGTGCGCGCGTCCCTTGCCCGACGCCGATTCGCGTTCCCTGCGGCGCGCACAGGGACCGCGTGCGTTCCTGCAGGACGCGTGCCGCATTCGAATGGTACGCCAACGAGCGTCCCTTGGAGGTCATGTTCTTGCTCTGCCGGTCATAACAGGACGTTGGGTGCTTCGGAAAAACACACACAGTAACGCACGTGTGGACGAACAGCACACATAGCAGCGCAGAGCGCACCGAGGAAGACGCACTTTCAGCACGTCAACGTGTCGCTCCGCCAAGGTTCGACGACGAGGAAAGAGCAGAAAGCGCGAAGTTCGCCGCAGCCAGCAATAGTGCAGGACAGCCGCCGTGTGCTTCCACATTTAATTTAGCAGTAAGCGGCTCAATACATACGGCGATAACACCTGACACAAGATTCAAACACCCACGAAAAAGAAAAAGCGAGCACTTGCCTGCACCATTCGTGATGACAGGATCATTGACCACCAGCAATGGCGCATAATGTACCGCCACGCCGCCACGGCATGGCAGAGCCTCGATGTATCCGTTTTAGAGAGAACACAGCCGCTTTCAAATGCGAAGCATTTCTGAGTGAACTTCAGCGACTTTGAACGTATCTATCTATCTATCTATCTATCTATCTATCTATCTATCTATCTATCTATCTATCTATCTATCTATCTATCTATCTATCTATCTATCTATCTATCTATCTATCTATCTATCTATCTATCTATCTATCTATCTGTCTGTCTGTCTGTCTGTCTGTCTGTCTGTCTGTCTGTCTGTCTGTCTGTCTATCTATCTATCTATCTATCTATCTATCTATCTATCTATCTATCTATCTATCTATCTATCTATCTATCTATCTATCTATGTATCTATCTATCTGTCTGTCTGTCTGTATGTATGTCGGTCTATCTATCTATCTATCTATCTATCTATCTATCTATCTATCTATCTATCTATCTATCTATCTATCTATCTATCTATCTATCTATCTATCTATCTATCTATCTATCTATCTATCTATCTATCTATCTATCTATCTATCTATCTATCTATCTATCTATCTGTCTGTCTGTATGTTGGTCTATCTATCTATCTATCTATCTATCTATCTATCTATCTATCTATCTATCTATCTATCTATCTATCTATCTATCTATCTATCTATCTATCTATCTATCTACGACTTTTAGCTCTCCTGGCCGTATCGTTAATGGTATCTATAGCAAATTTGGTATGGCATAACATGACGGAATGTCGAGCATAATTGACTAGTCATAACATGATTATCATGACATGTGTGTCATGAACGTCATTATTTACATTTCATGGCCTTGCTGCTCTTCCGGTCGTTTTGTTCACATGACATGTTACGAAATTTGCGTGGTATGACATGACTGCATGGCGAACACAATTTGCAGACCCTAACGAGAAAATCATGGTATGCATGCCATGTAAGTCATCAGTCATGACTACGCACCACGCGCATGATACGCTCGCAGTCAATTTGCTATCTTCAGATATACAAAGTTTTGTATTAAGAGACGTGAATAGACGGTGATTGTATGTGAAACGTCCAAACATGAGAATCATGATATTCGTATCATGTAAAACATGACTACATGCTACGCTGACAGCATGCTCACGGCCGTTTCGCTGGCTGCACATATCTCAAAATTGGTATCAGGTGACCTGAATAGATGACAAAGGCAAATGACACATCCAAACGTGATAATCATGACATGAAAGTCACGTACGGCACAGTTTACCTCCCCCTCCTAACGTTGTACTGATTTTAAAGTGACATATCAACCTTCTTCATTCGTGCTTCGCATATCAGCTATTCGCACTGTAGTGGCATCTGCAAATTTATTCCGCGAAGATGACTGGCTAACGGATAAAGTGTGGACGCCATATTTCATTATACCACGCCCAAAAGCAATCACATGTATAAGTTAACGAATTGCTACGTGCGAACAAGAAACACAAAATATCACACGACATCCCATTACCGCCGCCGCTGAGTCCAAAAGTGTCAATGGCGTTGCTTCCGGCTTCTCGGATGGCAGTGCCCCACGTGACAAAATACATCAGCTTGACATGATTTTCTTCTCTTTTATGGAATGTGCACAGGAACGAAAACTTGTAGTGCTCATCTATGGTCTTTCGCTCCGTTTTATTAAAAACGCAGCACAAGAATGTTGTTGTGCGTCCACTTCCGCCATTTTTCGGGCAACTAACCACAGTCTGTGATCTTTACGGTCAGTTCCGACGCTGAAACACGATATGTTTACAGTGTTGTCTATATCTTACACCGTGCCATATGTGCACATATATGCCAGGACTCGTGCGCTCCATTTACATTTGAGGTGCTTCCATTTGTATTGCGTAGTACGTTCCCAATTGTTGATTACCTGTTGTGCATCGATATTCGGGTACAACTTTAGAAGGCAGCAGCAGTTTTCCCTGAAATATGGATGCACACAAGCCTCTACCTATAGGCGCCCCCTTGAGGGGACGTCGTAAACCTGACGGCCAGTGAACCCACCGACGGAGAACATGTTGCCTTCGTTGTTTCCAGTTCAGCGCGCAAACGAGTGATTGGGGGGGGGGGGGGGGGGAGGTGATTTTAAATGAAAAGAAAAGTGAGCTCCGTAACTGTCTCTCAGGGGGAGGACACCTCAACATTAGCTCACGAAGGGTGGGGGTAAAGGAGGTATTAAAAGAAAATGATTTAAAGGTAACGAGATAGAGAAAGAGGAAGGAGAGAGCGAGGCGCAGGGATAGGGAATGACGAAAATAAGATAGGAAAGATGGACATGGTCGCAGGAGTCCGAGGACGGGTAGCCACTCGGCGCGAGCTCTTGTCGGCGTCTGGAGATGGCGTAGGGCGAGCCTAGTCGGCCAGAGCTGCGCTGTCGTCGGAGATCACGGGGGCACTACTGGTCGGTACGAAATCCAGCAAGTGAGTCACCCAGAAAGCAAATGCGATCGTTGGCAGCAGAGTGACTAGGCAGCTGAGCGTCCAGCTGCCCAAAGTGAACATTTTGAGCTCGCCAACGACAATCAGGGAACAATAGTAATTCAATTCAGATATATACCAGCTTTCAAATGTGTTTATATGCCACTTCTCCCATCCAGGATGATGCGTGAGGGAAGTTGCTTATAGGAATAGGCATTTTAGAAGCACTCACAATCATTTTTTGAGCAGAAATACTCCTTTAGGCACGGAGCGAATTGGCTGCTGCGCTTCGGTCATCTGAACGGAGCCTCTCCTGTCTTCTAAAGTTGTGCCCTACTATACAGTGTTTGACGCTCTTGTACTGCTCCTTTCACAGGCCACATAGTCTAGGATGATAGGAGGACACGTTGCCGGTGCAATTTTCAGCGTGCTTATGCTGTGCGGTATCAGTGAATCTTCTGTTGATACCTATGAGACCCATGTGGCCAATATAATGAAGGTAAGGGTATCTGACACGTAGCAACTGAATAAAGAGAATTCTACCCTAACGAAGTCGTGTGAAAATCGGACACATGAGTTTCTTTCTTTTTTTTCGGCAGAAAAACTTTCCTGATTGGGAAGTGACTGGAAACAACACTATCGCCGCATGCGTCTATGATATCCTAAAGCCCTGCGTGGCGAATTACACACCATTGTACTGCCAAGGCGAAGTACGCAGATTTAGTGCCTACTGTAAATCGTATGCCTATACGACACAGCGAGAAGTCGTGAGTGACTACCATGCGCTTAAGCAATGCAGAGAGCATTTTAAAATGACGGTTTGTGGGAACCAGAGCCATGATTTTTTATTTGTCTTTGTCAATAGGATTTCAAGCACATTTTTAAAACGTACTCAAGATGCAGAAGTTGCTTGGATGACTTTAAGAACGTGAGTACGCCTAATGTGCTACAATTATTGAGATAGTATTTTACCATGATGCGTTTTGCGACTACGACACTCATTGTTGTCTTTTTTCACCTTTTTTAATAGAGAGCCGACGCATTTTTGAACGGAATCTATATTTACAGCGAAACCGAAGCGGTGAGTATCTGTGATTACACTACAGCAGCGGTGAGAGTGGTTTGAGAGTGATCATCAGAATTAGAGTGTTGCCATTGCGTCGTTAAATCAAGTTTCAAAAGCGCATCTATTAAACGCGTGTCGCGTTTAGTCAAGGGTATCACACTAAGTACCATTGGTGCTTCTTGGCCAGTAATTAAAAATTAGAATCTGAAATGAATATTCTGCACCAATTTTTTTTAAAGTGCAACATACTCAATGTGAAAATCATTCAAGAAAATGAAGCAAAGGCCAGTTATTCACGCGGCTTTTTTTTGCTGTATTTCCAAAAATGCAGTTAATAAGCACAATTTAACCGTTACTAGGATTATTCATTACCGTTAGTTTATCTATTTACTTCTTATTCTATTTCTTTCACCGGGTCACAAATGTTTCTCTGGCCATTCTGTAGGCAAGTAAAACACCGTGAAAAAATTTAACGGAAATAATATTAGAAAGTATATCAGAAAAAAAACACAAGCTACACTGAAATCAAAACAACAAATTATGTTACGGCCACAATTGCCTAAATATGCGGAATATATTGAGTCATGATATATACAAAAAGTAAACACGACATATGCAAGAAAACACACTTCAGAGTGGGATCTCTTTAAATATTACACTTTCTCGTATTACAATATGTACAATAATATTACGTAGTCTTCTGAACAGAATTTTGCTAGTTCGGAACTATGGTTATGGCATAACTGCAAGTATGAATTAAATATTTCAGCCAAATAAATTATGGGCAACATTGTTACTTTATGTGAACTCTATTGGAATGTTTGCGAGGTAAATTGGGCGAGTCGAAATTCACGATGATACACCTCATGTGGGCGGAACCTAGGACCTCGGAGTTCCAAAATGTACACTGAGTGGTCCACATTCTCAGCTTTGTCTTTGGCTGGAGCTGGTTATTACGCTCCGGAAACAAAACACAAATAAATACACAAAAATAGAGGTATGAGCGCCATCTATTGTCGTGATATTCGTGGAGAATCGGCTGTAGGTTGTAGGTTGGGATTCCATCCGATGATGAGGGCGCTTCTTCGTCCACTGTATTCATTCTAACTTAACGACAACAACGTTCAAAACAACAAATACTGTCCTTTGTGCCATACTTTGCCTGAATGTCTCGTTGAGTGCATGTGATTATTCTAACAAAAAAAGGCTCTTAGCTTCTCTGTAACGTGAGTTTCTATCCTCTCTCTCTCTCTCTCTCTCTCTCTCTCTCTCTCTCTCTCTATATATATATATATATATATATATATATATATAATATATATATATAAGGGAAAGAAGTGTATACCCAGGGGCTCGTTTTTCCGTGTTTTAACACAATAATATTGAGATATAACAGGCAGTAATGCCAAGGAATGTACAGGGGAAGTTATTAGAACCAATAGAATGTAAATAAAAAGAAAGAAAAGTGGATGAAAAATAACCAGCCGCTGACTGTCACTCCTACTTCTAAATTCACATATAAACCCAAAAAAGTGGATGGAGGGAAGGCCGCTGTGGTAGCTCACTGGTTAGAGCATCGAACGCGTTATTCGAAGGTCGTAGGTTCAATTCCTGCTCACAGCTGGTTATTTTTTCATCCACTTTTCTTTCTTCTTATTTACATTCTATTGGTTCTGATAACTTCCCCTGTACATTCCTTGGCATTACTGTTTGTTATATCTCAATATATATATATATATATATATATATATATATATATATATATATATATATATATATATATATATATATATATATAGTTACCACACAGTTATACAAAATCGGGAAGAAGTTTGAGTGAACACGTAGATTTTTTTTATAATGCAAACGGGACAGTTGCTCAATACTCCCCATATAGCTTTTTAGGATATTCGCGACTCACTGATTCACACGATTCACTTTTTTGCTCGAGTGTCACTGCGAAAATAGTTTTTCCTGTGACTGCATAAAATGCTACTGAAACCACATTTCGTTAACCGCACATTCTTTCAAAATATTAGTACGGGATAGGCGTGCGATGCCTTGCCTCTTTCCAGCAAGCGCTGTGCACACCAGCCCCCCCCCCCCCCCTTGAGTTTAAAAGGAAATACCAAGGGCAGTGTTTTAAAGAGATTGTGATTTAGAAAACGTGACGACACGAATAATCTATTCGTAGAAGACACTACAATGCATTATTTAACACTTATTTTAAGAAAGGTATGGCGTTTTGCAATCTCGTATGGTGTACCTTCCATTCTGTCACCTAAATATTTGAAATGAAGTAAAAACAAAATGAAAGAGCACTGACCATAATGAAAATGTTTAGAACATTATAATTAACGTTCCAGCTACCGTAGCGTAGCCTTGTTCATAATAAAGTCTGTGAACAAGACGAGCTTTGGCTACCGTACGGTAGCAGAAACGTTTTTCTTTTATGCTTTGAACATTTTTGTTTTGGTCGGCACACTTTTGTTTTGTTTGCATTTCTTGTTTCTTCCCGACAAAACGATGTTTTGTCATACTATTGATTTCCCTAAATGTCTTGCCGATATAACACATGGTCACCACACAGTGGCAGATGCCAAATTGCGATGTGAAAAGTGTCATGACGTGTTTTGTGTCAGCCTGGTCACCGTATAGGAAAGTGGTGTCCACAAAATTTGTTTTATTTATTTCGAAAGTATGCCAAATGCATTGTAACTTTCTATTAAAAATACACGTGCAGGGTTGCTTCATTTATAAAGTCCAGTAATCAGTGGTGGAGATGTCCACGAATGAAGCGGTCAACGTCGGGCGTCGGCCAGACGTCAGGCCTGTTGCGCGTAGGTGACCACGACACGACGAATTAGCGGCATATACGCATGCAAGTACAGAAAAAGTGTGAGGCAGTTACATCCGGGAGATGACACCTCTCGAGATGAGAAATTCTTAAACATGGGGTGTTGTTTCTAAATGTGTAACGCCCGCCGTGAAAGCAGAAACATTGACGAAGATTGGTCCACTTATCAGAACATATGCTCTAGAGACATTAATTGAACTTTGAAGCTTTTTAATACCTTCCAGCCTCTGTGTTCACCTGAACTTCTTTCTTGTTTGGATATTTGGTCTTTTCGCTCGAAAAAGTTCGAGTGCCAGCGTGGCAGGGATATAAATCTCGGCAACTATCGCCAATCAGATGATCCTAACTCGCTCCCAAACAGGACACTTGCTGTTGCTGCTGCTGCAGCAGCAGCAGCAGCAGCAGCAGCAGTAGTAGTAGTAGTAGTATTAATAGTAGTAGTAGTAGTAGTAGTATGTAGGTGGCGTGAAAAGATGGGTAGTGAGCGAACACATGAATGGGACGAACTGATAGGGTTGATGATTGGTATCTTCACTTCGGGTACAAAACATCGGAAATGCAATTTGTGATTTCATTATTAACATAAGTTAAAGACTGACATCACTGGCAAAAAGCTTCTCGTACACTTATGCTCCGTTGTGTACAGTTATAACTGTCTTCATGTGGTGAAGCTGAGGTCCATATCATCTCAACTACTTCTCATTGACGAGTTCTGCAGCAAAAATTACCAATAGTAATAAAGATTAAAAAAAACAACAGCAGCGAAGGCCTTTTCACCGTCCGCGACGTTTGCGGCGTCGAACTGGCTCTTGTTTACGCTCACACCATCCTAACGTACTTCACATTCACCCGAAATGAAGAGTCTGTCCTCCGTGCACAAATGGCGGCGCATGGCTCGCTGCACGCGTCTACACACCACAGAACAATACCAATTACAGTTGTTCATATGCCCAGATTATGCGAGACTACGTCCACTTCGTCTCGGTGGCCTCATCAGAGTCCGACTTCAACGGAATGTGCCAAGCTCTTCAAAGGGTCGGCTGCATCAGCTGTAAAAGTCATACCGGAGAAATTTGGCAAGACTATTCTTATATGGAGTACCTTCCAAATAACCAGTAAGTGAACTTTTGTGAGATCTTTCTTAAATATATTCGTACAACTACGGCAATGTAAGGCCTAGTCCTGGCTGCATAAAGATCAATTTTTATTTATAGTTTTCCATTGTAAGGCTAAAGCCTATGGGGGCACTAAAGTAAATTATAAGGTTGGATAAGACTGATAAATTACATTGTTTGTTTGTTTATATGTTGAACTGTATATGCTTAAGAGTAAATTACTGTTTAACAGTAATTGTTATTCATTGTTACAAATGAATAACAATTAAATAAATGATGTAGAAAACATATGCGCGACATAAATGCAAACATAAATTCAAGGGCACCGCTTGCTTCAGAGATACGCAATGGACAGTCAAAAGAGGAATGACGGGAAAAGCACGATCGCACTTATGGCGAGCACAGCGCGAAGTAAATGATGAGTGGCTAGAAACACCAAATGATCAGAATAGCTAAGAGTATGGAGTTTGTTTAAAAATGCAATAATAAAAGGAGAGGAAGCCAGTGAACCGGGCAGTATGTTTCATTAGTCAATTACTTGAGAAAAGTAGCTATACTTAAAGAAGTCAATTCGTGTTAATGGAGGTTCTATAAGCATATTATGTCTGTGTGAAACGTGTATTTGGTGACAATCTGAACAACAACAACAACAACAACAACAACAACAAAACATTAATATCCATCATACATTATTATCCATATTATCCATTATCCATATTATTCAATATTATTCATTAATATTCATTATACATTATTATCCATATTATCCATTATCGATATTATCCATTATTATCCATTATTATCCATTACACATTATTATCTATATTATACATTAATATCCCGTTAATATCCAGCTTGTTATGAACAATAATGAAAAGAAATTTTAATCTTTCCACTGCGGTCACTCATTTTTAAGTAGGCCGATTTGCTTTTCAACACAGTTTGAATATCAGCAAAGTTTGCATTTAGGCACACTGTACTATCATTAATAATTATTAAAAGAAGAGCAGAGATCTTCTGCACTGTCTCGAAGTGCCCCTGATACAAGTGGCCGAACATTTTACTTTTAAACACCCGTTTTGTCGTATAACATCTAGAATGAAAATAAGAATCAATTCAGTTGCGTAAGTTTATAAAAAAACACGAATTTTAAGCAGCGCTGTTGCGTGCGATACTTTCACGAATGATTTGAAAAAATGTAGAAAGATGAGAACCATTTCTTCAGGGCTAATGATTGTTTGAGAGATATCAAGTATTGATTCTACAAGTTGCGTTATGGTAGAAAGACCCTTGCGGAGTCCGGGCTTTTCTGGAGATAATAAATTATGTGTTTTGACATAATCTGAAAGCTGTCGACTAAGAAGCATAGAGCTTAGAACAGAAGCTTAGAGCAGATTGATTTGATTGACTGATATGTGTGGTTTAAGGTCTCAAAACCACCATATGATTATGAGAGACGTCGTAGTGGAGGGCTCCAGAAATTTTTACCACCTGGGTTTGTTTAACATGCACCCAATTCTAAGCGCATGGGCCTAGAGCATTTTCGCCTCCATCGAAAATGCAGCCGCCGCCGCCTGGATTCGATCCCGCAACCTGCGGGTCAGCAGCCGAGTACGTTAGCCATTAGACCACTATGGCGGGTCATGCAAGCTTAAAGCAGCAGCCTAAACCAGAAGTGAAGTAGAAAATTGGACCAGGAATCTATGACGGCGCTGCGATCGTTCAGCGACCATGGGAATGATGTGTAGTACATGAACTTGCCTAGTCTTCGTACTTGCGGGCGATGAGTCGCCCTACCACCTCCTTCACCTCACCTTAGGCAATGCGCCGTGCTGCCAATGGGGCTGCAGAAATTAGGTGCTTTTCTCCTCTTCTAACCACTACCGCCATCACCTCACCTTCTCCCAGTTCTTCTCGCTCATGCGAGGAGTGTGCGTAGGTTGTGCGCATGCGCAATAAGGGTGTTCGTGCCGCAGAACACGTGCTTCAACTTTGTCATAAGCTGTTTTTTCATCTAAAAACCAACAGGTACATGTGCGCACCACATACGTTGGAGTGACCTGCTTTGTCCACCTAGGAATTGTAAATCGTCACTTGAAAATATCGAAGAGCTGATATATTACTGCTATGAAAGACGCCTCAACGATTTCTCTTTCAGTTCTCGACTTGGCATTCGATGAAAACTCGGTTTTTCCAGATGAGGCGAGCAGCTCTTGCTTTCGCACCTTTTTCATTGCAGGGCGAGATTGCCGCCCATCCATGGTGGTGCGCAAAGATTGGTTGTGCCCCTGCGCACGCTTACCGAAACAACTGCCGGTGTAGGCTTTATAAGACCAAACGCACCAAAGGGGTATTTCATAGGTGACGTTGGAAACGCAAATATGAAACCTAAACTGGTGGTTCTTTCTGTATGACATCTCTTCTTTTTTTTTGTTAGAAGTGGGCACACTCCTTGAAGTCTGCAAGACACGGAAGAGATGAAGCGTACCCATACCACCACGCAGCATTGTTAACGTAGTGGGACAGGCAGTGCCGATAGTAGCAGATTGTAAACATTCAACAGATGTTTGTCTGCCTGGGTAGGTTCACTGGACAAACAACTTCAACTCCAATCAAAGTAAAGTAATGCGAAAATACGTAACAACCCAGCGTTTCTGAACGAATCTTGCTTCCTTCCTTAGGGAAGGAAGCAGGAAGGAATCTTGCTTCCTTCCTGTAGCGACATTCCAGTGGAGTCTTGAAGGCACTGGCGTGGTGGATGGCGACTCCCATCCCGCGTGTTTTGCCGCAGAACGTAGTCTGTGTGCTTATAAACTGGGGAGGAGAGCGGACAGGTTCGAGAGAATGGTTGGTGTTTTGGTCCGTTCCCTCTATATTATACATCGCCAGTTTTGTGTATCTACGAAGGATCTGGTAACGTAGGTGACTTGGTAGTTTTTAGTTAAAAATGCGTACCTGGTTACTAACGGCCGAAGTTACAAGCTTTACTAGCTGCTGGATAACAAATGTATAAAGCCTTAAAGAAAAAAAGGAGTGACCGGTGCCACCATAATGGCACCGATATCTCCTATTTCACCATTTTAATAATTAAAAAAAAACGTAGGTAGTAAAGTACACTGGAAGCTAGTGAATACACCCGTTTACTAACTGTTTACAATATTTTTGTAAGGGTGTATGCCAGATAATCATATTCCTTTCAAATTGACTCTGGTAGTCTTACAGATCAACTTACACACTATGTGTTCTCGTCTTAATGTCAGCGAGAAAAAAAAAACTAAAATTACGCCATCTCCCAATGAAGGAGATCATGAGCAGATGCGAAGCAGTGGACACTAACGCTTAGACTGGCGATGACGTTGGTGCAGAGGAGAAACATGGTGAGGCGCAAAACACGCAGTGCTGGACTGGCGTTTCCTGATGGAACGAGTCAATCACTGCTAATGGGCGACGAAAGACAAAAACACTTCGATCGTACACAGAGACCGACAGTCTGCTTTCATATAGTTAACGCCCATGCTTGGAACTTCATTTGTTCGACAACGCACAGGAGAAATCTGCCATTGACACTACCTTGGAGCTGCCTATTATACAGGGTGCCCAGTGAGCGGTTGTGCAATGCGAGCAGTCGTTTTCTTTTGTTTTATGGGCGAAGTTCCTTAAAGCGGCACTTGTTCATCCCTCATTGTAGTGCGTAACCAGTCTTACGCTTCGACCCGCAAGGTGGTGCCGATGGAAGATTTCACCTGTGCGTTGAGAACAATAAAAAAATTCGCAGCGTGTGCGTTAACTAAAAGCCATTTTCTCCTGTCTCTCATTCCCCATTCGCAGCCATTGGCCTGTACATTGAGTGCTATCTGACAAGAAAGGGTTGCTAGGTTATACTCGCTGGGCGTAACCTCCTTGGTTTTCGAAAAGCTTAGCGAGCGTTGGGCCGCAGTGCCATGAATACAGTGAAGTAGTATATACCATGAACTGGAGGTGGTTAAAGGTGGGAAGTAGACACGAAGCGCAAGCTGTAAGAAAGTGTACGTGTGCCACTTCTCGTTTAGTCCTTGGAATGTCCGCTGGATGGCGGTGCTTCTTTATGCGGAATATATGATGAAAATATGCGAGATGGTGGTACTTGGAGTGTTGACTAGATGGACTAACATGCACACAGACAGATGCATGGACGGACGCAGGGATGGCTGCACGAAGGGATGGATGCATGGATGGACGCAGGCGCGGATGCATGGACGAACGCAGGGACCGACGCACGGATGAATGTGCGGACGCACGAACAGACGCACGCACGTGCGGCCAGATGGACGCACGGATGGTCACAGAGATGGACACAAGGACGGACGGAAGCACGAACGAATGGACGGACACATGCTTCGCCCCACTCTCCATGATTCAGCTCGTGGATATGCAGCCATTTCTTTTTACAATCAAGAAAGTCGCTAGCAGACGCGTTCTGCGTCGACGTTGAGAGGCGAGAGAGGGGAAAAGCGTAGGAGAGGAGAAAGGGGGAGCGTACGCGCATGCCCTGTAAGGGTGGTCACGCCACGCACAGGATTGAGCTCGAACCTAAGCTGCTTCGTATCTAAAAAAGAAAACGCAGTTCAGCATTTATTAAAACGCAGTTCAGCAAAGTCACGGTCACACTTCAAGCTTACGTACCTCACAACCTCAAAAACGTTTCATTTTCAATTGCAAGTAATTGTAATTTGAAACGCAGTAAACACTTCTTCAGTGTTCTGAAAATCCCTTTTATTTAGTTTAACCAGCATAAGAAGATCAGCCTTCTTTCAGTTTTCTTTTACGAAGATCTAATCTAGAAGTATTGATATCACTGATGCCTATGCACTGCTGTGATTGTGTCCACAGCCAGAATAATAGAAGACAAACAGTGACTTTCAGTTTTACAATTTCCACCAGCACAACTGTTCTTTTCTTCTTTCTTCACAGGAACTCGAGGATTGCAAGTACTTTAAAGATATTTGCCGACAACACCTTTGATTTTTTTAGAAAAGATGGTGAGTCTACAAAATCATTGTGAAAGCGTCTGCGTCTTCTTTAATTTAACAGTGCTACGCGGTTCGCTTGTTTCACTGTTTGATCGCTAAAGTATTTGTTTGTTTCAAAAACACACGTCTGTTTTCAGCTCTGAATCAGGCTGACAAAATCGCGCGAAAGAAATAACAATATAAGCAAACAAATCATAGTTCCACGCACGCTTACTTTTTTCTCTTTCTGTAATGGCATTTCAGCCACATAATACGCCAGCCTCACTCGGTGCCTGCCGTGCGGCAGTGTTTGCGAACCTTAGTGGCGGTTTCAGATTGTTCTGTCAATATTGTGCGCCACACGTGACTAGCCGAGCTAATTCGGCACTTACGCAGACAGCAATGGTAACGCTGGCAGGTTGTCTGTCTGATGATGGCCTCCAAGATGGCGGGCGAGCGGCGTATTTCTCTCCAGCCGTCCCATTCACACCCAGAGAGCGTACATCCAGAGCTGGGCGTGGCCCGCGGTTTTCTGCGCACCGCGGCGCTCCTAAAGAGAATAGAAAAAGCTGCCACACGGTTGGCGTAGCTTGCGTGTGGCACTAAAAAAAAAAGGAACAGCATATTCGCGGAGTAAATGATAATCAATGGGGCGAAGCATCCGTACGTTCATCCATGCTTCCCTCCGTAAGTTTGATCTTGTGTTCGTCTATCCATGCGTCCGTCCATGCGTATGTCAATCCATCCGTCCGTGCGACCATCCGTCCATCCATCCCTGCGTCCGCTCGCGTGTTCGTTTGTCCATGCCGTCCATTCGTCCATGCGTCCATCCGCATGGTCGTGAATCCACCCGTCCGTGCGTTCCTCTGTCTGTTTATCTGTCCATGCGTCTGTCTGTCTGTCTGTCTGTCTGTCTGTCTGTCTGTCTGTCTGTCTGTCTGTGTCTGTGTCTATGTCTGTGTCTGTGTCTGTGTCTCTCTGTCTGTCTGTCCTTTAGTCCGTCCATGCGTGCGTCCGTCCATCTAGTGAGCACTTCAAGTTCCGCCATCTCACATATTTTCATCTTATATTCATTATATACAAGTACCACCATCCAGCGGACATTCCCAACACTAAACGAGAGGTGGACAAATGCTACTACTACTACTACATCTACTACATACACCGGAGGACGCAGGAACCATGGCTTAAGAAGCTTCGCCCTTAAAAAATGCTCTCACGCATTTGTATAACCTCGCACTCATTTTGACATGTCGGGTCAAGGTGTCAGAGATGCCAAGTGAATGCTGGGACGTGTATATTCTCAAATGAGCTTTTTTTTTGCACCAGCGCGGTGGTCTAGTGGCGGAGGTAGCTGTGTGTGTATGCTGACCCGTAGGTCGCGGGATCGAATCCCGGCTGCGTCGGCTGCATTTCCGATGGAGGGGAAAATACTGTAGGCTCGTGTGCTCACAATCGGGTGCACGTGAAAGAACCCCCGGTGGTCGTAATTGCCGGAGCCCTCCCCTAATTATCATATGGTGGTTTTGGGACGTTACACCCCACATAGCAATCAATCGATTATGAATCAAAAAACTTTTCTTTTTAATTTTTGTTGCAGATTTGCGCGACATTTATAAATGCGATGCAGAGATACGCGCGTGCTGGAAACTTACTATACTTCGAAGTTTGAGGGCTGTATAGTAAAGGGGGCACTGGCGAAGACAAAAAAAAAAAAAACTGAGAGCCGGATCCGCAAGCGAAGTCAGAAGAGCGCCGTGTTTTACGCTCGCCAGTTACACTCGATCAAATGAATGCTTCGGTTTTCTAGGAGTGAAGCTTCTTAAGGCGTCGTTCGAGCGTCTCCTATATGTAGTTTCCACCTCTCATTTTAGCCCTTGGAATGTCCGCTGGATGGCGGTACTTGTATAGAGTGAATATATTGTCGCGTGCTACAAAAGGTCTTCAACTAGGAAGAACTGAGCCGGCGGGGAGACGCACCGAAAACTGGCAAGATGGCTGCTTCAATATTAAACAACTGGCCAGAGCACGCGCTGCCCCAGAACATCGTCTTCCATTCTCGCCGGCAGCCATGGCTTGCGCTCGCCGTAACTAGCGGCCAAGTGGCATTATTCCCCTTCTGAGAAAAAAAAAAGGCATCACTCTGATGCTCGGAAAGTACAAAGGCAAAGTCGGGGCTAACCAACAGAAAATACGCGCATACACAAAAACAGCGATATGGTTCATGCGCAGTCGCACTACCGAAGTACGGCTTCAGGCGCACCACCTGGACAATCTCTGAGGAGTGTCTTCGCCGTCGTGCTGAGAAGGCGCCGTCAGGGACTACCTCGTAGTTCACATCGCTCACGCGTCGCAAGACTTTGTATAGTCCGAAGTAGCGACTTAGCAGTTTTTCAGACAATCCCTTGCATCGAACTAAAGTCCACACCCAAACTTGATCACCTGGATGGTATTCAACTTGTCAATGGCGAGCGTTGTAGCGGCATGCGTCTGTACTCTGCTGGTGCGTAATGTGTAGACGTGCTTACTGGCGTGCTTCTTCGGCGTACTGGGTAAGCTGCACAGCATCAGGAGTGATCAAAACATCGCAATTGTGTGGAAGCATCGCATCCAGCATGGTCTGGACCTCACGTCCATATACAAGACGGAAAGGCGCGAATCGAGTAGTTTCCTGGACGGCAGTATTGTACGCGAATGTGACGTACGGTAGCACCTGGTCCCAGGTCTTATGCTAGACATCTACGTACATAGATAACATGTCAGCGATGGTCTTGTTGAGTCGCTCTGTCAAGCCGTTGCTCCGTGGATGATATGCCGTGGTCTTGCGATGGCTCGTGCAGCTGAGCTTGAATACGTCATGAATGAGCTGGGCTGTGAATGTTGTTCCTCTGTCTGTGATTACGCACGACGGGGCGCCATGGTGAAGAACGATCTGGTCCATAAAGAATTGGGCGACGTCGGAAGCAGTAGCGCGTTGTAGTGCCTTTGTTTCGGCGTACTTCGTCAAATAGTCGGTGGCTACTACGATCCACTTGTTGCCGGCAGATGATAGTGGAAAGGGCCCCAGTAAATCCATTCCTATTGGATCAAATGGCGCTCTGGGTGGTTCTATTGGTTCAAGAAGTCCCGCGGGCTTTAGTGGCGGGGATTTGCGGCGTTGACATTCCCGGCAGCTTTTCACGTATCGCTTAACTGATGCAGAAAGCTTAGGCCAGTAGTATGCTTGTCGAACTCGAGCGAGAGTTCGAGAGGAACCTAAGTGACCAGATGTGGGCTCATCGTGGCAGGCAAGAAGAATGTCGTCACGCATGTCTGTTGGCACGACTAGAAGATAGGTTCTCTCATTGCTGTTGGAGTTTTTCTTATACAGGACCCCATCTCGCAGACAGAACGATGACAGACTTCGAGAAATACATCGAGGTATGGACGAGTTGCGTCCTTCAAGGTTTTCAAAAACTGCGCGAATTTCATCGTCCGCACGCTGTCGCGTAATCAGGTCTGTTGTAGTAAGGGCCCCAAAGAAACCATCGTCATCCTTGGTGTCGTGGCCACAAACTTCGACAGGTGCACGGGATAATGAATCAGCATCTTCGTGCTTGTGGCCAGATTTGTAAGCGATCGTGAAATCGTATTCCTGCAGACGAAGACTCCATCGTGCCAGTCGCCCACACGGGTCCCGTAGGTTGGCTAACCAGCACAACGAATGATGGTCGGTCACTACCTTGAAGTGGCGTCCGTAAAGGTAAGGCCTAAATTTCATAGTGGCCCATACAACAGCGAGGCACTCTTTCTCTGACGTGGAGTAGTTGACCTCGGCGCGGGAAAGAGTGCGGCTAGCGTACGCTATCACTCGCTCTGTGCCCTCCTTGTTGTTGTACGAGGACAGCACCAAGACCCACGTTGCTGGCGTCAGTATGAATTTCACTATCAGCGTCTTGGTCAAAGTGAGCGAGGACTGGTGGTGTCTGCAACGCTCCTGTAGTTCAGAGAAAGCTGCGTCCTGTTCTTCCTCCCAGATGAATGGAACATCTTCACGAGTGAGTCTAGTGAGTGGTTCAGCAATCCTAGAAAAATTGGCTATAAAGCGGCGGTAGTACGCGCAGAGCCCCCAAAAAGCAACGCACTGCCTCTTATCACGTGGAACAGGAACGAGGCCACGGCGGTACTTTTGTCAGGGTCTGGTCGAATACCGTCCGCACCGACAACATGGCCGAGAAACTAAGTTCCTTGTAACCGAAATGGCATTTTTCTGGCTTCAGTGTCAGGTTAGCAGAGCGGAGCACTTCCAGCACAGTCTGCAGACGCTTCAGGTGCTCCTCAAAGGTGAAAAAAAAACCGACAACATCATCGAGGTAAACTAAGCACGTGTGCCACTTTAGGACCGGTAAGAAACAGTGGTCCATCATTCTCTGGAATGTCGCAGGTGCAGAACAGAGGCCGAGGGAAGCACTTTGAATTCATATGGCCATCCGGTGTAACGAAGGCGGTTTTTTCACGATCTCGTTCATCAACTTCGATCTGCCAGTAGCCACTTTTCAAGTCTGTCGATGAAAAATACTTGGCTCGCCGCAGTCTTTCGAGGGAATCGTCCGATGCGAGGCAGCGGATAGACGTCTTTTTTAGTCACGCTGTTAAGTTTTCTGTAGTCCACGCAGAAGCGCAGTGATCCTTTATTTTTCTTCACGAGCACGACCGGAGATGACCAGGCACTTTTCGAAAGTTGGATAATGTCATCTTGCATATCTCTTTGACTTGAGTATTTATACGTCACGTTCCTTTGCCGAAACGCGGTAAGGGTGTTGTTTTTATGGGCAAGGTGTCGGTATACGTAATTATTCGATGTTTGACGATCGGTGTCTGACGAACCTTCGTGGTGGACGCGAAGCACTCTTCAAATTGATATAGCAGTTCACGTAGCTCGGTCTGTTGTTGTTCCGAGAGGGTCGAGTTGACATCGACTTTTCAAGTAGTGAAGTCACTTCGCTTGGTGTCGGTCGAAGCCCGTCGTTGGCTGATGTAGATGCGAAGCA